AAAATCCGTACAAACATTAGGAATAAAAAATTATGGATTGATTGACTCTCTTTCCTTTTGCCGGAGAAATGGAGGAATAGCAGCAAATTGAGGGCTTGGAAGCTAACTAAAATCTATTGAGTATTGACATTATTAAGGACGACCAAGAGGAGACTTGTTCGTGGGACTTTCCTTTTGTCTCTAGATGTTTCTGTTTCCCAACTCTTTAGCTCCTGTTTTTCCCCCCAATCAAAACTCTTCCTCTTGAATGATGAATCTTGATTGTTAAATTGCGTGCGCTTTCGTACGCGTGCGTGCGTGGAGTACCTCTTCCAATGCCCCAAAAATTAAAAAAAAAGAAATCAGAGAATGGTAAAATATTGGCAATACAAGTCAAAGAATTTAGCACTAGATAACGTCATTATTAATTGTCATCATTTTCTAGCTATAAACGTAATTGCAAATAACAAAGTCTTTAGTCAAAGCTTGGCTGGTCTGATCTTCTACGTTCAATTTTTTTTTTCACGGAATAATGATAATTTTTTGAGAATAAATTTAATTAGAAAATGACGCATAGCAAATACTTCTAGAATCTAAAAAACAGTTCTATTTTTCCATGTTCACGTTGAGCAGAAATATTAGAGAAAATATCATTCAAACACCATTAATAATATTTAATATACCAAAATATCTTAAAATATCACTGCAAAATTGGGGGGCTGATTAAAAATAATTTTAAATGAAAAAAGCTATAATAACCCTGCCTTTTTTTAAACTAACAAATAATCATTTATGAATTACCATTTACATTTAACAAGAAATCATATGTTAGTTGACAAGTTTAAAGAATTTCAAAAAACTTAGTTGTAAAAGAGATAAGTGTAAATCATGTTTCAATAAATAATTAGAGTCAAAAATAAGGGTCGAGCTTGAAGGCCTTATTTAAATAAAGATTTGAATTTTGAAAATTATTTTTTTAAAAAGAAATTGGGCTTGAGGGCCTGACCCTGATAAGTCCTGTAAAAAAAGACTCGGGCCTCGGTGACCCCCCAACCCCTGATAAACTTGGTTATTTTACACACACACACGTACATACATATATTTGATTGATAATGACACAATTTGGTTAATATTTATTATAGGTGATGAAGAAGAAGTTGTAAAGGTAATTAATATTAAATCTCCACCTCCATTTTCAACAAGTGCACTTACATTCGAAAAATTTAAAGTTTTATTTGTAAATGATAAGGATGAGGAGGATTTGAGTTTTGATTGATAAATGTGTGTTGTTTAGATTTCTAAATATGTTGTTTAATTTTTAAAATATTGTGACGATTTTAATTTTTTTAATTTTAAAATATTTTAATTAATTTATAATATTTAATTTTATTTTAATTTTTTAGAAGAGAGCTTTCAGGCCGAATCTGAGCCTTTTACATAAGGGTCGAGTTTCAAAAAAGGGACTAAAAATGAAGAACTAAGCTTAAGGGCTGAGCCCACCCGTATATCCAACTATACAAATAATCATTCGTTAATTAACAAATACCCATTAGTATTTAACAAGAAATTTTTAGCTAACTGACAGGTTCAAGAATTTGAAAGAGCTTGGTTGTGGGAAGAGACAAGTGCAAATCATATTTCAACAAGTAGTTATTTATTAATTAACAAGTACCACTTCTCATTTAACAAGAAACAATTTGTTAATTAACTAATTCAAGAATATGAAAGAATTTGATTGTAGAAAAAAATAAATGTAGATAATGTTTTAATAAGTAATCATTCTTTAATTAACAAAATATTTATTTACATTTAACAAGAAATCATTTATTGGTTGGCAAGTTTTAAAACAAAAAGAAAAGTAAAGGTATTATAATCTTTTCTTATTTGCAAATTAGTTTATAAATCATGCTGTAACATTTCAAAAAATTTTAGTCTTTATTTGATATTAAATTTTCTTGCTAGTCCTTAAATGATATTTTCCAAAAAAATTATGCAGATCTTTTTTGACCAAAATACTCTCTCTGTTTAAAAATGTAAAGCATTTTTAACTGAATCTCACTTCCAATAAAATAGTTACTTACTTTTAAACTAACCTTATTTTTTCATATTCACCTTTATTAAACACTATAATAAATATAAAGTCATTATCAATAGAGATATTTTAAAAAAAAAACAATGATTACACCTCAAAAGACTAAAGATACCTTACATTTTTAACATTTAGCTCCTCAAAAATACCTTATATTTTTAAACAAATGGAGTATGATGCGGACTCATCCCATGGTAAAGATAAATTCTTTTTTTTTTAGAAAATTAATTTTTTTTGGTAAATAAAAAATTAATATTTTGTTTCTCATTGTTTACACTATCATTATAATTTAGTCCTCATACTTTAATTTCATGTAACTCAGTGCCAATTCAGTCTTGGATATCTTATGAATTATTCCTTACTATCTTATATATAAATTAATTTTTTGGTAAATAGAAAATTAATATTTTGTTTCTCATTGTTTACATTATCATTATAATTTAGTTCTTATACTTTAATTTCATGTAACTCAGTGTCGATTTAGTCCTGGATATCTTATGAATTATTACTTACTATCTTATATATGAATTATTTTTTTAGAAAAAAAAATTATGATCATTTTCATAAGTTATTTTGCATAAAAACATAGATCATTGATTACTTTTCCTTTCATAATCTTCAATAAGTTAACAGTAAAAAGGTTATGTGATAGAGAAAATGTTTCTGAAAAATGATACACTTAATAAGAATAAATTAGAAATCTCTTCTTTTTTTTTTTTCAGGCAACATCAATCAGTTAACTGCCTCTCATTGATTTTAAAAAATAGTTAGAGGAAACTTGTAACAAATGGAGACAATATGAGTTAGCTCACATGTAAATAATACATAGGTGATTCATAAATATGCCAAATGGGAGAGTGAAAAAACAAGCTATTAGCAGCTGCAATAAGCCAAAAACAAAAAAAAAAAAGAAAGAAAGAAAGAAAGAAAGAAAGAAAGAAAGAAAAAGGAAAGCAACGATCCATCTGCGATTTTGTCAAACCAAGAGGGCTACGTAGTTGCCCAGTCTGTCCGAGCTTAAGCAGGGCTCACAGCTTGGGCTGTTTTTCCTCTTCATGACCACCAAGTAACAGAGCTCTTGATTAATTCCTTCTTCTGCTCTGTTCTGTACGTTCTTCCTTTCATAATGCTTTGCTTTTTCTTTTTTTTATTTTTTTGTCCCAAGGATTGTTCGTTCGATGTATTTTTTCAGTTCATTAATGAAATTCTCCATTTCATTCCCAGAAAACTGTTTGTTAGATGAGACTCGTCGGTAATTTTTCCCCTTTATTTGAGATTATATATGATTCTCCTAAGGGAATAGCACTTTTAAGAGAAGTAGTAGAGGCCAGGACTAATTTATAAGAAAATAAAGTTCAGGGGAGTTCAAAATGAGTGTAAATTATAAGGATTGAAGCATTAGTTCCCGCTTTTTTCAACAGAGATGGATGATATAATCATTAAATAAACAATGAATAGAAAAAATTATCCAAGACGCTACCGTACATTCCTTTTATAATATTAATAAAAATATTTGACGAACCAAAAATCACAAGGAGGTGAATCATAATGATTAATATATTTATTTTAATGTCATTACTTAATGAATGGATAAAATTGAATATGAGGAAAATTCAAATGCATGAAAAATGATGGTGGTGGTCATGAATGTAATGGTGATGGGGCGGAATGCATCCGATAGATTGAGGCTACTTCCGAGAAACAAGGGCTAAAGGGTTTTAAAGTTACAGTGGACTGTGGACATTTGATTTGACATAACGTTGATCATTCTATGTAGATCCTGATTTTGTTGATTAAATGAATTAATGAATGCTAATCATCACTTACTTTTTGAATTTGACGAGGATTAATGCGTTGGTATGGCAATCAACGGTCAGAGGACGCTATCAAGATTTATCAGCTGATCGTGCCTCCTCCGAAAGGGAAAGGCCCCGGAACATTCCTTTGAGCTTCCTGGCAAGTGGCTTCAGACTTCACAGACCTTCTCATCGACCATAATCTCGTTTGTTATTCGCTCTTCTTGTCCTAACCAGCACTATCAACATATGTAGCCAAGTCCAGTCAACCCAACCAGGGTCAACCCCACGCTGGTGGTTTTGATCACCTTCACTCCTTCAATCTGGGTACTATACATTCTTAAATATTTTACTGCTATTTAGCAAGTAAATCCTTCTACCTTGAAGGGTATATACAACTTTTTCTTCCCAAATTAAGCGCGCACGGCCTCAGATCAAATTATCCTCAGAAAAACGGGAGGCTTCGAGATTCAATATAGGAGTCTATTATAAGAACATGTCTCAGCAACAGGTTTATTGCGGATTCTTTTCGTAAGACAATGGAAGAAACAAACTTCTCTCGGACATATCATTAATCTTTGGGAGTTATAGTCAAAATCCTTGTTCTAGATTCGTGATGCTCCCACATTGTAATAAATTCAGAATTTAAAATAAAATAAGCTAAAAAAAAAAAAGTCGAAATCTAAAGACACATCTCTCCACATGCATATATGTCTGAATTATATAAAGCAGGGGACGTCATGCATAGACTCGAGACTAGAGGTTCGAGGAAGGTTGCATATAGCCATAAGGAGCTCAAAATCACCATACCATCACTTTTCGACATGTTACTTCTCCGTCGGGAAGGGTTTTGTCCAACCACGAGACCCCAAGATCCCATTCCCATCTCTTGAAAAAGTCTTCTTCAAGTCATCTTTGGCATACCTCTCACTCCGCTTCCACCCCATCAAATTTATCTTTACAAGAAATCACTTGTGTGTTGTCCACGTGTCATCTCAGCCTCCTTTTATCGTTGAAGCTCCTATTATGGTTCATAGGAAGGTCACCATGAAGCCGCCTCTCTCACTACTGTGTGGCTATATTTATATGTTGAGTTTATAATATATGAGCAGTTGCTTGACCTCCTTGTTTCCGTCCCAACCATACCAAAATGTCTGATAGTAATCCTCCAAGACCACCAGATTCACCGGAGAGCGACTTCACAAACCAGTATCCTTTTGCTGAGGTCTCTGAATTCTTCAACTTCGAAGACGATGAGGAACCCGAGCAATCAATAATGGCTCCTGAACAAGTCCCGAATCAGCAGGTCTGTCAAACCAATGAAGTAAGTGGATTTGGGGGAAGTACTGCCAACCCTTTCGAGGGGTCATCTAGTAGTAAGCGAAATTCCTCACATGATATCTGCATTTATTTGAGTTTCAAGTTCTCATTGTGTGATATGTACAATCCACGCAGTACTCCAGTAACCAGTCTCGAAACTTTCTTCAGCTTTCTATTTTTAATTCTCAGCGCGCTTATTATAATATCTGGTCATGCGCTTTAGGAGACATTGGCAGTAGTGGCGAGATCAACATCAAAGACAGAGTCGCATTCAAAACGAAGTCAGAGGTAGAGATTCTGGACGATGGGTACAAGTGGAGAAAATATGGGAAGAAGAGGGTGAAGAACAGCCCCAACCCGAGGTACACACGTATATGCCTGCGATGCTTTTTTTTTTTTTTTTTTTACAGTGGCATGATGATGAGGCCTTAGAGTTTTCAATATAGAGGGTTCGTTTTCATTATGTGTGTGCGCGCGCGCGCGCGCTCCGTTGCTGGACAAAAACATGCACTCGCGTGCGCGCGCAGCTATATCACAGGCACAACTCCTTTTTTCACTATGTATTTATTATGTGCATGGCTTCGCCAGGAACATGCTCATGCTCATAGAATGTGATTGCAGGAATTACTATAGGTGTTCGGTGGAGGGATGTCCGGTGAAAAAGAGAGTTGAGAGAGATAAGGATGATTCAAGGTATGTTATAACAACCTACGAAGGTGTACACACCCACCCAAGCTTTAGCTAGCCCTAGCTACCTACCGACGGACCGGCGGTTTTAATTTGTTTGCCACCATGTCTAACATGCATAGCATACTGTGGCATTCGACACTATTAGTATTATATGTTAGCTAGGGTCGGATTTTTCTCTTGTATTACTCACCTTTGATGATTATGAAGATCAAAAGGCTTCTGGTGGGTGGTGCCATGTATGTTCCATTCCCGTCCTAGAAGCTATCAATGATAAGAATTCCAAGATTGAATCACATTGTATCAGTTCTGAACTACGCAGGAGCAACGAGCGCCAAATGAAAAACAATAATACCGCGAATCAGTAGGAAAAGATTCAGAGATGAACGTTATAATTTGAAATCTATTTGACCAAAAAAAAAAACATTCCTTCTATTTGCGTGCGCCAACCATGATGAGGGAAAAATGCTACACTTGTCATGAACACAAAGTAAATAATAATTAAATAAAACGAAAGACAAAATGCATAATTCTCCCCAAAAATAGTAATTTTTTTTTTCATATTTGAATAGTGATAATAATTTCTCTCAATTTCTTCATTTCTGTTATTCCCCGCTGATCGCTCCGTAAAGATTTTAATCTCACTTGGATCGGCTGATTAATTTCTTGTTTACTTCTCTAAACTAAACTGGTGGTGATAATCTTGAACTCAATGATTAATTAAGAACGTTATTACACGAGAAACAATTCAACCGTAGTGAAAGCAAAACTACTCGTGTATATATACGGCAGCCTTGCTGGCAGCATCAAGGGAAAGTCAGATTCAATATGAACATAAGATTTTAGTATGCATAAGAGATGGCCCCCCAAGATTGAAAGAAAACAGAGTCACGAATAGAGTTTATATCCTAAATTTTCCTAAATAGTCTGCCAATGTAACTATCTTTAGGGAGAAGCAGGCAAAATTTACTAAAATCTAGAAGAGCATGCCAAGCATGAGCTTCTGATTCAATCAGGAAGCACGATATCAGGTTTTTGAATGTGGTCATTTTCAGATGTCAGCTCTGTTCCTTTACAGTGTGACATTACCATGTGAAGAAATGCCCAACGGGGTTCTACCTTGCAAGTTGCAACTCGCCAATGTTGCTTTAATTCTTCATCTGACTGTAACTCCAGAAGAACTGGAGACGTAAGTAAGGGCTTTGACATGACTTGCCTAAATTAAAATTAGCCCACGTGACTTACCTAAATTACTAAACATTTGTATGCAGTACTTTACACCCCTGCAACGTTTTATTTTTTTATTTTTTGGTTTTTTTAATTTTTATATTGAATAAGTACAAAATAAATAAATGTACTAAAAATGAACTTATCTTTATGTTTATTGCCTCTCTCTCCCTCTGTCTCTCGGGTTCACATATTGCTTCTCTCTTTTACCACATGATATCATACTGAACGTCAGTTAAGCAGACAAATTTTATGGTTCACTTGCCTAGTTAGATGCGTAGTACACTAACCAAATAGCCGGTACTCGTTTTGGCTGAACCTTACTTTTTTATGGCCAAGGGAGCATATCTATTTGTCATCAATCGTAAGTTTCTGGCCTTTGGATTTATTGCATATTAAATGGCGATGACATTTTTAGAATTTACTTATTTATTTTTGGATCGCCTTCTTTTATTATGAAATTAAATCAATGATTGAAATTTACTAGAGACAGATGCAGCCAAAAAAAAATCTTCCAGCAAAAATAAGGATTGAGATATCATTATTTAGTAATAATAATTTTATTATTTTTTTAAATTAAAAAACACACAAGATAATTTTATCCAGAGATCTTATCTTAAAAAAAACTGGTTATCAAGATGCTTTCTGCCAGGGTGACCATTATAAGTCTGTATAAGAAGGTAACCGAAGAAGCACATTAATTCAATACAGATAAGAATCGTCATCTTCTCGAAGAGTCCTGACAGGAGAGGGGGAATCCACTGTGCTCCCATGGAAGCAATGATGCAGCTATCTTACGACGCTACGGTGAAGATTATGTTACGCTCTTTGGAGCGGAATTTGCTCCCTGACGTTGTCGTCAGGAGGCTCACTCGTTTGCTCTTAGCATCTCGCCTTCGCTCCGGCTATAAGACCTCCTCTCAACTTCAACTCTTCGATCTCCTTCATTTTGTACACTGTAATTCCAGTTTTCACTTCTTTCTCTCTTTTATCTTCTTTGTTTTTCGTTTCCTCTTGTCGGCGATTCACTTGTGCCTTTTTCTGCGCAATATCTACTTCTTTATATAAGCAAAGATATGGGTTGCGGCTTGTGATCCTTGAGACTAAGAAGCAGCAATTGTAATAGCACCTAGAAATTTCACATTACGAGTGTTGTGAGATCTATTAAGTACTACAGATGGAGATGTTGCTATGTCCAGAAAATTAAGAACTAGTGGAAATGAGTCTATATCTCTGCAAATGGAGTGCTAACATACATTGTTCCAGAACTTGGCTTCCTGCTACCATACATCGTTTGAAGATGAACCTAACTGTGTTTTTCTTGCAGCTTTGAAGCAGATGCCTATCGCCATCGACACTGATAAGCCGAAAGTTCAGCATTATGAATTACCGACCTCTTTCTTCAAGCTGGTTCTCGGCAAGAATCTCAAATACAGGTATTTTAATGCATTTCTTTTTCTTTTTCTCTTTGACAACTTAGTAATTCATTCTAACCTCGTATCTTTTCCCCGCTTTAGGTTTATTAGATTATGAAATGTCTTTTTCAGTCGAATCCTCATTAAGGAACGATGACATGAACGACAGGCAAACCTTGTCATATAGCTTACTCCCCTCCCCCCTTTCTTCTATTTGCCCCGGGGGGGTGGGGGGAACTGTATTACTGTTAACTATATTTATTAGGTCTGAACATAGAAAAATTAGAATAAAATATCCTTCATCGATTTTTTTTTTTTAAAATATGAATGATGAAATTATGAGAGATAATTTAAGAAATTTGTAAAATGTTCATTAAAAAATATGATTTTACTTATATAAAAAAAATAAACTGACAGGTTCTCTTACAAATAAAAATGGAGGGAATACTTGATTATCCCTAATCAAGAAATTTACTGTATTTATTCAAGTATGTGTGTGCAGACAAAACTCTAGAAATATAAATGTATACGAGATGTAAGTCATCATCATTACACAAATTATCAACATGCAAGTCTGTGCTATGTGCCCAAAACAGAGGGTCAAGGTTGAAAACGTGCCTAAATGAATGAGCTCTTGCAGTTCTTGTTACTTCTCTTCTGCGTCAAAGACACTGGACGATGCTGAAGAAGCAATGTTGGAACTATACTGTGAGAGGTCACGCATGAAAGATGGCCATACCATCCTTGATGTTGGATGTGGCTGGGGTTCGCTGTGTATATACATTGCCAAGAAGTACAGTAATTCCAGAGTTACAGGGATATGCAATTCCGCAACGCAGAAAGCGTATATAGAGGAGAGGTGTAGGTATGCTGCGTGATCGGTACCAATCTTTTGCAAATTAAACAACATATGATGACTCAAATTCGTTTCCCTGTGCTCTTTTCAGGGATCTTATGCTGCAAAATGTGGAGATCATTGTTGCAGATATCAGCACATTTGAAATGGATGCTTCTTATGACAGGATATTTTCGATAGAAATGTTTGAGGTTGGACTTCGTGCTTTATGTCATGCAGATAGTTATGAAGGCGCGTTTTTATAATATATATATATATTGATAAACTTGATTCATACCTCCTTGACACAGCATATGAAGAATTATAAAGATCTACTCAAGAAAATAGCCGGTTGGTTGAAGGAAGATGGCCTTCTATTTGTTCATTATTTCTGCCATAAAGCATTTGCTTACCATTTTGAGGTGAAGTTTATTTCATGATTTTTCTTTTTTCTTTTTTAGAAAGTTTATTTCATGTTAAACAACTTGGCCTCTCTTGGTCTCTGCCTGTATGGACATTGCTTGAGATATAGATAAGACTTGTAAAGTCCCTATAAGATAATTCGTTGACCTTTAGACTCCGTAATTAATAAACAGGACAAAAATGAAGATGACTGGATTACTAAGCATTTCTTTACTGGCGGAACAATGCCTTCTGCAAATCTACTCCTTTATTTCCGGGTAAGCTTGGCATATGCAAGTGCAACTGGAGCTAGCGGATTCGCTGACCACCGAATTGTAGTGTTTTATTTTATTTTATTTTTTAATTTTGAAGTCAAATTTCACTTACTCATTAGTTTTTTTTGTCTTTTTTTGGAAATTAACAATAACGCCTGCCAAATTATTAATCCTGATCCCTGGGTTTAACCCACCTCTGAGTAGGTTTTTCGTTGATGTCCGCAGGATGATGTTGCTATTGTCAACCATTGGCTTGTCAATGGTAAACACTATGCAAAGACGAGGTAAGAATGAACTGTATAGCTCAAAAAATTTACAGCAATTCCAAATCGTACTACATTCTTTTTGATTAAAGTTTAGTTTTTAGTTTACGGTACTCCTGAAGCAAAAACAAATTTATCTTGCAGCGAAGAGTGGCTCAAAAGAATGGACCAAAACTTGACTTCCATCAAGCCGATCATGGAATCAACATATGGCAAGGATTCTGCTGTAAAGTGGACTGTCTATTGGAGAACGTTCTTCATAGCGGTCGCAGAACTATTTGGCTACAATAACGGTGAAGAATGGATGGTTGCACATTTCCTATTCAAGAAGAAATGAATTTAAGCACAAATCAAATTTTCCTTCCGTTTATCAGAGCATAAAAATGCCGAAGAATCAAAGATGCATATTCTAATGACTGTAATTTCATGGATTCAGACACAAGTTCTTTTGGCCCCCATTTTTGTGCAATCTCATGACTATGATAACCAAAAAAATATAGGAGCACGTGCGATTTATGATATTAGTTCCACTAGTGCCCAATGAAGTCGTGTGGCATAATATTCCTGTATTCATCTAAAAAATAAAGCTCAGAAAGTGGGAACGACTAGTATGATTTTAAAATCTCCGAAACAGACTTTTGCTTTTTTCTTTTTTCGCCTAACCACAATCGAAACTTTCATACAACTTCCTCGTGAATCCACCATCATTTCCTTTTCCTCTTCAGTAGACCATGGATTAAATTCATCAAAGACCAAATCTCCTGGAACTACAGCATTCAAAACAAATACCTAATACAAAGGTAGCAGGACTCTAAAATACATCATTAAAACTTGTCGTCCCACCTCCAATCATCGGCTTACCTGCATGAAAATCACAAATTCAAAATTAGGACCTACCTCTGAAATCTACCGCTTTGTTTAGACGCTTATTAAAATGCTGATTAGGAACGCATGGTTTTCTTCCCTCGGTTGGATAATAATCCATTTAGTGCAGTCAAAGGCTAACGCCTCAGGTGAGGTGAGGTGCCAATCGCTTAATGCAAACTAGAGGTCCAATGCCTTAATAGCACCTTTCAGCCTTGAATCCACACAGCATTTTGAAGACAAAATTCCAAGAAATACAGTATGGAACATGTTGCCAACAACAAAAACAAAGGGTTCCAGTTTGTTTAAATTTGTATGACTAGATAAAAGGAACATCTTGACTATCTTTAGATGCTTGAGTCAGGTTTAACATGTATAAACTGGTCATACTCCAGGGAGATTAAGACAATTAAAACCATGCCATGACCATATATAAAGGGGGGGGGGATTTAGTGATTACTTTTCTGGTATTCAAGACACAGAATGTTCATGGGGCTGAACTTGAGGTCATGTTGCAAACAATTAAGAATGCCAACCATTTTCTTTCCCTCTTTCTTTTGTTTTGGGTTGGGGTGGGGCTTGACTACGGCCAGTAAATCAATGTAGGAGAAATGTAGGTGCCATCTGCAGGCTGCAGCATAGTCATACCTGCCTAGAGCTTAACACCGTAACATTGACATCCAACTCTGTCACATACCTGGCAGGAACGAAACAACGACAAGAAGCCTGGTTTTACAGAACCTAAAATCATACCGCAGCTAAACTTGACACTTCACTTCCTTCTATTTTTTTTTTTTTTTTTGGGTTAAAGAGATGATTCATTCCTCAAAACAGAGGATACAAACAAGAGAAACTAAGTCAGCAGCTTCTCAACATTCCTTCTGAAGAGTTGATGCTTTTCCTTCTTTCTTCTTCTTCTTTTAATAGGCTCTATTCGTAAACCTATTTTTATTACTGCAAGGATTTCTCCAATTTATATATGAAGAGTTCAGCTTGAATGGCTATAATTTGACACAATTTAGTGTCAAAAACACGGTTTCAGCAGCAACCAATAAACTCGGGCAAAATTTCTGAATTTTTTATACAAGGATGTCAGTGCTGCTCAACAAGCCATGATACTTCAAAAGCCGAGCCCTAATATCTTATAGACTCTTCATTAAGTAAGATTGAAGCATAAATAAATAAAGATTTAACAGAGTGACGATCCTTCCTTGTTTGCACTTTCTAATAAATGCATGGCTTCCGGATGGGCATCATTAAACGTCGACAAAATTGGAGGGGGGGTAACGAGTATAATGATCCTGCAAGTTACCTTCGTCCGGATAATTTCTATTTAAGTCAAAAGATATGTTATTGTGATGCACCAGAAGCAGCATCTTTCCCTAAATCGTCATAAACTTTAGAACTGACAACGCCCTCAGCTTCTAAGAAGCGACTCAGATGTTTATCTTCCAAATTTTGCTGTAAAAAAACAAAGAAATAATGCTTAGATAGACGAAATAATGAAAAGCTTAAACTTTTAAGCGAAGTAATGGATCCTACAGAAAGGCAAGCTCTGTACTTTTCCCACTCGGAAAGACATTCTTCTTTATCCCACTGACCCTTCATGAATTTCTCGGCGTACCACCTTCCTTAGAAAAATCTAACATTAAAGGGAGACGAAGAACAGAGCCAAATAGGGGCATGAAGAGAAACATCGAAGAATTTTTATTTTTATTTTTTTTGAGATCATGAAACCTAATCAAGATTACATAGAAATGATACCTGTTGAAACAACTGTGGTATGCATCTCGAAGTGGGGCACATGGAGAGGTTGAAGACGAAGAGCCTCTCTTCTGTCTCATAGAGACAACAAGTAAAAGAACAATCACGGGTTTGCCCGTCTAATAACCGATCGTCCGAATCAACGAGAAATCAAAACCTATCGTCGGCGTTGAAGCACGCGCCTCTCAGATTGCAGTGGAAGCCACCGAACATGTAAAAGCGTCTGCGCTAGCTTGCGGATTCCCCCTCCCTACCTTCTTTTGGTGCTCAAGAATTGATTTTATTTGTCATTTAAGGCCCAAAAAAAAATTAGTATATGTGTTTTGTGGTAATTTAAAATTTTAAGAGAATTGTAATAAAAAGGTTAAGAGAATAAAATTGTGAATGAGTTCTAAATAATGATAAGGGAGAATTGCTCAGAAAAGCTTCCTCAACATATTTAATACTAAAAAAGCCCTTAAATTTGGAGAAGAGCCAAGATTTTTTGGTGTTATTATGTGTAAGTGTTAAATGATCAAGTTATCTACACAAAATCCTCTCCCACTCCCTCCTCTCCTCCCATGAGATTCTTGGCATCGATCTACCACAACTCTATGATTCTGATGATGGTGATAGGTGGTTGTGATTTTGATAGTGACAATGACAAAAAAAATATGGTAAGATATTAGCTTTGAAGACGATGGAAGAATGAGTCTAGAAAGTTCAAACTCTAATAATTTTTTTGCCCCTAAATCCTGCGAAATTGGATTGTTTAATTTAGCCTTGTGTCTTCTCTTTTAAGCATCACCCCGCCACCCACTCATTGTTGTAACTGAAAGGAGCAATATAATGAAGCAAAGATGGAAATTAGAAGCCATAAAGAATTTGGATCTCATAGTGTAGACCAAAATCTTTCTGAAGATTCCATTTAAGTTTTGGCCAAGTGGACTAAAACAGGAATTCTTCATCTATGCTCATGATCAAAAAGATTATTACATATTCTAGCAAGTTTGCTTGAAATTTTCACCCAACCACATCCTCATTATCTATTTTATAATTTATTTGTTAAAAGGAGAAGAATGTCAAGTGTCAAAAGGCATCATAAGGCATCCCACATCTGCCATGAATAGCTAGAAATTAGAACAAAAAGGGAGGCCAAAATGATTTCACCAATTTAATGAAGACATCATCTTTATCTTTTTGCTTGATAGTTGTTGCATAAATCCTCGCATTTTGTAAAATATTTTTGTTTTATATGTTCTTTATAGGCATCTATTGTCAAGTTTACATGACCTTAGGAAACAAAAGAACGGAGGAAAACAAAAGATGCAGAGAGTACAAACTAAACTGAATAAGATAGGTTTGAATTAGTTGTAATATTGTGTCAGGTTTGGGCTTGTGTCAAACAACAATGAAATTAGTGAAGATGTAGTAATTCCAAAAGATTGGCTTTCATTCTAGTAAGTATATTCTTTAATTTGTAGTTGTAGACTTGTAGTCATATTGCAATTTTTGAGTCATGAGATAGCTTGGTAAGATAATTATAGTGGACATGTTGTTGCCATGTATATCATATGTTAAGAAAAGGAAAGAGTTATGTTGACTAATTATTCTTATTTGTATGCATATTCATTGTAGTTACAATTATAAATGTGACAAGAATATTGGAGAGCAAAGTGATCATTCTTCTTGGAATAGAGAGAAAAGATCAAATAAAAGACTAGTAGTGGGATGGAGTCAAGGTAATGGTGAAAAAAGTAGACTGAATACTCCCAAAACTTTAAGGTATTGGCTTCGCTGTCATTAACAATAGAGGGCCAAGCATTAAATATGGAAGAAGGGGCACAAGCAATGCCTCTCTTTTGACAAATTATATATCGTATCAATAAAAGTTAAAGGAAGAAGTTATGAGGAAGGGGAGAAAGAGAGTAGAATGGCTATAAAAAAGAGAAAATTGCATTTTTTTTTTAGTTTAGATGATTTGAATAAGTGTTAATGCAATATGATTTTGAGTTGGCCAAAACCAATCAAAATACAAGGAGTGGGAAGATTATTGTTTGTTCCACCAAATGTTTTTTTTAGTGTTTTTTTTATTTTCAAGAAAAGACATTCTATTAAAACAAATAAAAGAAAATGATTAAAGCAAAAAGGGCTAGTAGTTAAGCAAAACTACAAGCCCAACACAGACTCAAGGAAACAAAAGGCATAACAAAAACAAGACAAAAAAAAGTACAAGAGAATGTAAGAAAAGATGACAAAGAAAAACAAAAACAACCTAAGAATAGTAAGACAATAAAAAACCTAAGATATTTTCAACAGGAACTACGAGATGATGTGAACATTTGCCTAACACAAAAGACTGCATGAACTAGCTTCAAAGCTAGATCCTAACGTCATTTTGAAGCTCCATGAAAAAGAGAGTGAGTTGAAACTCAATCAACTCTATGAAGACTCTCTTGTAGGATTTGAAATACCATAGCAATGCATGTAATAGCTGTGAAAAGAAAGGATTGTCATCGACCAGAACAAGCAAAAGGTAAATTGAGTCTAACACAAACAAAAGAAACCTAGAAAAACAAAGACAAAAAACAAACAACTCAAGATTAGGGACCTTCATGCAGTTGCTAAACATAAAAGCCCTCATCCTAAACATGTTTCTTTTTTAAGAAGGTTTTACCGAGTGTTTTTCATTGCTTGAGTTAGGTTTGTTATGATAGTTTTTTTATTTGAACTTGAACTTGTTGAAAAGTCATATTTTATATATACTTTTATCCTCTTCACTATATTTTTTATATTAATGAATTGTGATAGACTAATTGAGATTAATTATAATATATTTTATTTTATTGGTCACTTTGTATTTTGTGAGAATTTATGGATTAAATCTTAAAAATTATAATTAAATTCTCAATTTAATATTTTTCACACATATGGCTATCTTTGGGGTTAAATTGAAGATCATTAATGGAGATTTGTTGGGTTTGAAGTGAACTCAAATTTATTATCTCAAATTGTATTTTTCTCTTGAGTAAAATTGTGTAAATTGCAAGTTGGGTCATTAAAGGTAGTTTTGTCTTTTACATTTTAAAAATAGGTTTATGTTATGGCAAGCACATGTTGTAGCATCTTTTGAATTAGGGTGTGCGTAGTTGGAAGGTTGGGGAAGGGAGGGAAATGGCTCTCCTCCCCTCATTTGGTTTAGAAATTTTGGAGGGAAGAGAAGGCAAAATTTTCCCTTCCTTCCTTTCATTTTTGCTCTCTTCAAATTAGAGTTTTTTTTTAGGAGAGCCAAAGTTTATGATTAACCTATCCTTAATTTATTATTGATATTCCAAGAGTGTCCAAATAAAAAAAAATCATTCTTGCACTTGTGAGAGCCTTTTTCTTCCAGACTAAGTCATCCAAGCTAACAACATGCTTCTTCTTACAAGTCGACTCACCTAAGCTAGCAATCTCACTGTTGACATCATCATGGCCTGTGGACCTCGCTTTCCTAATAGAGCCACGGCAATTTACTTCCCACACATATGGTCAAAGTGTAGAGCTAGAGATCATCCAAAACTCCCACTTTTATGCGCTTGACAATGAAGGGGATAGACTAACATGCATGAGTAGAATGAAAAAAATATTAAAACATTAAAATTAATTGGAGAATTAACAAATAAAATAATTCAATTTTAAAGTTAAAAAAACTGCATAGATTTAACATAATTAAAAAATATAAAACTTAAATATAAAGATATAATGGTAAATTAGTTAATACATCCCCTTCCCTCCAACAAAACTAAACAACGTAACATTATAACCCTCCCCTCCCCACTCCCTTGAACCAAACACAACCTAAGAGGGAAATAGATAAAATGAAGGGGAGGCAGAAGGATTTTGGAGAAGAAACAAAGGCACGCATATGGCTTCTTCTTCCCTTTCTCTTTTGTTTCATCTTTTCTTCTTCATTTCAACCACAAGACCTTGATTTCCTCTTGTACTTGGTGACAAGTGTGTGAACCTAGAGCTATAAATGGAGATCTTGAGCTTTAATGGCATACTGTTTTAAATTTCACCCTCTCCCCTCTTCTTCTTCTTCTTTTTTTTGCTAAGTTGCTGTGTTTTTTGCTTGGCCAAATTTGGCTTATGATTTTCACGTGTTACTTGGTAAATTGAATTACTATAGATGTCTAATTGATTGATTAGGGATTTAGGAGATGTTAGAGAGAGTAAAATGATTGAAGTGCTCTATTTTACATTGATTTCCAAATTTCATTTGCAAGTCATGGGTGCATTGTTGAGTAGAGATTTCACAAGCAATTGCTTGAGCTTTGGATGGTGATTCGAAGAATTTTTGTGGAAATCTTCTTGCTATAATTTCAAATTATATCTGTAAAATGATGAGAATGTTGAAGCTTACACTCTAAGGAATTAGCTTGTAGCCAATTGCAATCTTTAAGAAATATTAGTTAAGTTCTTATTTAAGTTTCTTAATTTATCTTTTTTCTTGTGACCTTTAACTTGTTCAAAATTCTCCCTTTTTTAATGTTTTAATTTAACGGTTATTTTATTTATTAAAATCCTAATTTAATTGGTTAAGTTCTTGGTTCCTTGAAAAATGACCAAATTCCTCTATATTGCAAATATTGAAAATTAGTTTTATTTTGATGCTATTCAATGGTAGTGTCACTCATGTAATTGAATATCAATGAATAAAAGAATATTAATAAAATCATACTAGCAATGCTTTCTAACTCAAATTCATTGCTATTCTCTAAAATTAAATTTTACATTATACTTTCATTCCACTTAGTAGAATAGACATTGTGATTTCAGAATATTTATTAGTGTTTTTATGAAAAATGAAAAAATTTTAAAATATCTATTTGTATTTTTATCAAAATTGAAAATTTTTTCAGGATATCTATTTGTGTTTTCATGAAAATTAAAAAAAAACAAAGGCTATGATTCATTTTTGTCTATGTTTTTCAAGAATATCTATTTGTATTTTCATGAAAATTGAAAAAACAAAAGCCATACAATACCTTTTTGTTCACATGCAATGAGCTTTCATGATATGCAATATTTTTCCCTTCATATATAGCACTGTACTACAAATACAAATTTATTTCACGATATGTAATGTTTCTTTTATTTTATACAACTACTCTCCAATAATATGCAATACTCTTTTACATATGTGACACTGTCTAGTATGATATGTAACGCTTCTTTCATTATATGCAACTACTTTCTTAATATGCAACTCTTTTCTGCCATATACAATATTCTTTCACATATACACATTTCTTTTGCAATATATAACATTTCTTCCATTATATGCAACATTCTCCCACACACGTAGCACTTGCAAATATATATTTTTTCAACATAGTACAACACTCTCCCATTATATGTAGTGCTCCCTCGTCATGTGCAATAATCTTTTGTAAATGCATATTTCTTC